AGAAGTTCTTGTTTCCCCCAGCACCGTAAATTTCTTGCAGCAATGCAGTTCAATGTTTTCACCTGACCCAACATACAACACTCTGTGTTGGCACAAGCATAGAAGGGACAAGCACAAAAGTCATGGAGTCACAAGGGACTGGAGGCTTTCATGAGTATTGGAATACTCTGAGAACATAAGATGAGGACCTGTCTGGCCCTTATGTATTTCCCTCTAAACATGTCTCTGCTGGAGACAGAGCACTGATCTCAAGAATCTTGGGTTTGACCTCGGATGACCATTCTTACATTGAAAATCCAATCAGCTTAAGCCCTCAGGGCATAAATCTGTTTTAGCAGTAGAGTTTTCTTTGTTAAGTAAATTACTCCTCCATAAAGTAATTTGGAGAAATTATTCTTAATCAAAATAAAATAGGACGCTCTTCTCTTGTTGATTGTTCACTGGGGACCTGAACTCTGCGCCTTTCGTGCCGTACAGTCATAAGCCAGACAGACTGACTACTGCAGCAAAACATTTTGTACAACTGTGTTCCAAGAGGACCATAATCTCTACAGCTGAAATAAAACCAACTTCCTTTCAAGCAGGATACAATATTAATTAATTTAACATAATAAAAAGATGAGGATTCTCTGGAGAGATGAGAACACTTTCCACTTTGATAATATTGTTATTTTCTAAAGGAAATATTATGAATGAGAAGATATCACAGAGTAATTGTAAGATAATAGACTTCTCTGACCCACCATCTGAAATGTTACATGGTACCCTCAGTCTGCCTTGCTAACTGCACCCTTGGATACAAGATGAGCCTAGATTCATTAGATTAAAACTGAATTTTACAAAGTGCTCAACCCTAATTATATCTTGGCTAAATGGGTAACACCAGCACCCTCAACCCCAAAGAGCTGTTTTCAAATTTTAGTCCTACAAAACTACTGCAAACCAATCTCACAAGAAACATGTTTGATCTGGGAAGGAAAACTGTACAGCCATACAGTTTACATATTAATATAATGAAACAATTTTATGGAAGAATTTTTTTCCTATATTACTTAAATAATATCAATAAAGATCTTAAAAGTAACCTGTTAGTAACGTTTCAGACAGCTGGTTTACTAGTTTGTGCAGGAATATGCAGATAATGTACAGTCTCTATTAACAAACACCTCTGAAGCTGGAAGTCATCTGACTTGATGTACAGTATCGTCCCTGTGATTAAAAAATGCCTTTTACTAATGTGATCCTCTTTCCTTTGTGCTTCCTACGTAGTAAAGTAACAATACTTCCAGCTTGTATGTTCAATAATTCCAGCTAAAATAATGAGGAAACATATTTAAATGCACTTACCCGTCATCCAAGTGAAGTAAATGAGAGAGACCCTTTTTGACTCTTCCTGAAGAAGAGCTACTTGAGTAAAGCAAGAGACATTATAAGGAGCTACAATACAGTATTATTGTCAAACTATGTAGCAATTATTTTTACCTTCTGCCTTTTATACAGCATCCATCTGATCCTGTGCTTGAGACTTAAACTGAGATGAAGAGGAATGATTACAAGACTGCTCAGTGCCTACCAGAAGTATCTTTCCTCTAAAAAAAGTTCAATTTTTACAAAGATGCATAGCACAGAAAACCCCATCCGAGAAACACAAGAAATACATGCAAGATCATAGAAAATGTGACAGCCTCCTCAGGTGTTTCCCAATACTATTGACAAATACAGGAATTTCTAAAGCTCTGCAATAAATCTAGCATGTAACTTCATCAAAGTACAACCCCATCAGATGACAGTGAGCAGCAATTTATCACCATTTTAGAACAAACACGAATAATGGTTACACTCTTGTTCTAGAGAACAGAATCCTGGAGAAGCCCTACCACCTCCCAGGTAGAGTATTTATTTATAATCCTTTTTGGATCACTCTTACCTGCTTCTCCCAATTAAAATTATGCCTATATTATTCTTTTAGGAAGCCTAATGATCACTGCCATCTGCACTAATCTATCCTTCCTCTATGCGAGGAAATGAGAGACCATGTTTGAAAATTACTTGCTCCTAATATAACTGTACATTCTAAAAGCAGCAGCTTGATGAAACTCAAGGGCAGAAAGATGCACCACAGGTGATAAAGCATTGGAGAGCTCCTTCAGAAGAAATATCTGTGCCAGGTACAGAAAGCAAAGTGACTTTCTCTTTGAAAGGTACAGAGAAAAGTCAGGAGTAGTGAACACAAGGCAGCAGCACCTACAACTTTTATACAGAATTATTAAAGTGAAGATAGGAACCAAACTATGGCATCACGTTTGCAACTTTGATTTCAAGAAAGAATGCTGTTATACACCAGTCAGAGGGGTGATCTGCAAAACTGTGAGAAGAGAATGAGGCAGTTGGGTCCTCATCAGCTGGAGAGAGCTAAGCCCAGTAGGTGGAACTTGGTAGTTACCCACATAGAGTTCAGCAATCCAGAGGGCATGACTTATTGCCCCAAGTCATCAAATCAACCTGCTGAGACCACACACTGACAGGATATAAAACAATCTTTAGGGTTTTTCTAATTCAATTGATGACTGCTTCTCAAGAGCCTAAACTCAAAATGCTCGTGCAATGTCTTCACTCAGATAGGATCAGCATAATAACACCTTAATTGCATCAAAATACTGACACTGCTCTTCCCTTAAACATACTTTTCCCTGGCATTAAGAAATCCACATTTTAGAACCAGATGCTACTATGTAAGCCTAACTAGAATAAGGTATAAAAGGCACAGATATTTAGAATTTTCCCCAAGGTGATGGATTAGGACAATGTCAACTTATTTTTATGCCAAGTCACATGGCATTAAAGATAAAAAGTGCTTTTACATTGAAGTGAAATTCAATCATTGCAATTCTTTTGAATTCTCATTTTACAAAGTGGAGATTTTTCCATTTTATCTTTAGCACAGTTTATTAACAGGAGCAGAATTAAGTTTTCCTTCTTGATCATCAATTGAGAACATAACTGTCTTCTGTGAATGGTTTGTCTGTTGCCCCAGGCATGACATTGTGGAAACTATCATTCCTCTTCTGAGACTCTGCACAGCTTCCTTTGTATAGGGAGCTACCCAGTTTCCTCTGGAGATTTTTGTCCTGTCCTTTGCACACCAGTGGTGCTAGTGTTGAGCATAGTTTTGGTATCACTGTGCTCTCTGTCTTATATTAGTCTTGGGTATCTTGGCACAGAGGAAAATTGATTTTCCTGGCATAAGATCACCATTTCTATGCTTGTTGATAGGCCTGGCAGAGGTTGTTCCAGAGACAGACCAAAACAGAATCGTAGTTTGGGTTGGAAGGGACCTTTAAGATCATCTCATTCAAATCTGCCCAACATGGGCAGGAACACCTTCCACTAGACCAGGTTGCTCCAAGTCTCATCCAGCCTGACCTTGAACACCTCCAGGGACAGGGCACAAGCTCTTTAGGCAACCTATTTCAGTGCCTCACCACCCTCATAAGGAACAATTTCTTCCTTGTATCTAAGACAAACCTACCCTCTTTCAGCCATTCCCCCTTGACCTACCCCTCCATGTCCTTGTAAAAAGTCCCCTATAGCTTTCCTACAGGGCCTCTTTAGGTACTTCTCCAGGCTGAAAAACCCCAGCTCTCAGTCTTTCCTCATACTATCCCTCCACTCGTCTCCATGGCCTCCTCTGGACTCACTGCAACAGGTCCATGTCCTTCCTGTGCTGAGGACCCCAGAGCTGAGGGTTATTTTATCACAAGATGGTTAGGGCTTAAACCAGAAGACTAAGTTTGCTATGAAAAGCAGAACCACACAAGCCTGTTTGACCAACAAACAAACTTGTTTAGTAAACAAGTAGAGAAACACCGAATTAATGTAAGTGACCTTGTGAAAATTCAGCTGAGAATTCGTTTCTTCAAAGTCACCTTATAATCCTTAGGATTCTTCTCTCTTGCTGCCAGACTGATCAGAAACATCACTACTTTTCCCTTTACTGGTGCATAAGAAAATAGATGACTTCCACGCAGCTCTAATCAATATTAAAACCTTGGCAGTTCCAACCTGCTTTCACATGAGATACAACAGAATCCAAACTAGCACCAAGAAACATGGTTATTTAATTCTAAGCAGTCACTTCCAAAAAACAGCACAAGAAAGCTGTTCAAAAGTCACTTTACTTACATTACAATATATTTAACAGCTTGAACAAATTCAGTTTTGAGAACAGTTCTGTGCTTGAAGCCAGAGCATAGCTGGAACTGGTTTCCTGAAGAAGAACAGTAAAAGTAAAGATCTGCAAGGATCTAGACAGACAGCAAATACGATTCACATCCTCCAGCTTATACCAGCCTCTTCAGGAGGCACAAGTTATATCAGAGAAAGATATTTATATCAGAGAAAAATACTGATCTATGTATTTAATCACTTTCACAGAGTAACAGTCGGTCTGTTACTTTATGAAGCCAAGCACAGTCATCATTTACTCAATCTTTTACTAATAAAAATCAACATCAGATACACTAAGTCTTTAAAAAAAATTAAATTCATTTCTAAACCTGATCAAATTGTGAGAAAACTTTGCAGACCAGTGTTAACGTGAGTAAATTGACTGAGGTGATTAAATTTGTCTGCTTCTGCTGGATGAATACTACAACAATTAAATAATTTAAGTGGTCCATGAAAGAATACCCCAGATGAAGAGGTCTTAGACAGTTAAAAAAATAGTGCAATAATTCCTAGATACACAAAGTTATGACTCAGTGAGACAGTTCTGCTGAGGATAAATGGCAAAAGTTCTGCTGTTAGAAAGCAAACAACCACAACCTCAAACCAAAAAACATAACGAAGTTACAGACAGCATACAGAATCAGACAAACAAAAATCTTATAACTAAAATATCACTGAATTCTGTCTGTCGTCCTCTAATCTGCCAGATGTGAGGAAAATTCCTTCTCTCAGTTGTAGTGAACTTTTCTGAGGAGAAAAAGGCAAACAGATAACCAGGAAGAGTTTATTAAGATAAAAATACAGGTTAAAAAAATATACTCTGTAACAATTCATCAGTATTACAACAGCAGTATATACTATTAGCACATTTTCCATATCAGTCCTTTAGGTGGTTTTGCTATTTTTCATAAGTTAAGGTTAAAGTCCTTTATTGTGATTTTTTTAAGATATTTGCTTCTTTCACTTAACTCATTTTTCTTCTGCTTACCCTCTGTGTGTTCTTATGGTCTTTGTTACTCAGTTACTGCAGAGGTCAATACTTCAGAGATCAAGATGAAAGTTTAGCAGATGGAAATCCTTTTGCAAAGGGTAGCTGTTCTCATCTAGCACAAAATGGCTCCTGATTTCCAACAAATAGGATGCTTCTGTATCCGTCAGCAGTGAGTGACACAGATCTGCTACTACTGCGCCGTAGGTTATATCTGAGGGGGGCACTGCAAGAGACAGCAATTCAATTTACACTTGATTTTCACAACAGCACCCATCATTCAAGTTCTACCTCCACAAAAGCTCCACCGAATCACTGGAAATGCAGTTCAACATCTGAATAAAAAATCAGCTTTTATTTTTAATTATGTTTTTAAAACAATGAGCTGAGCCTGTTTCTCATCAAACTGCTAACACGAGTGAATCACGTAAAACACCTCTCAGGTCAAACAGGATGTATCAAGTGAAGCTTGTCTGAGCCACTTCTCAGTGTTTCACATCATGAAAGCATGTCAGCTATTTATAAAATCTGCTAAGAGATTCTATTTTGCCTATAAGGAATCAATGTAGTTAATGAATATTTAGCTATATAATTACAACTATTTCGTTATACAATAAATGTTCACACCATCTCGCCTCTTGTAGCTGCCACCTCTGTTCTGAACTTCTGACTTGTTCAGACAGCAACTGAAATATTCTCTGATGTTGGTTGGGTTTTTTTGTGTGTTTTTGTTGTTGTTGTTTTTTTTATAACTGTCAGTAATTAAAAATTTTGTTTCCAATGGCAACTTTGCAGCCAGTTTCTATCATAAATAATTCATGAAACAGTACCTACTAATCTGTTCAGCCAGTCTGCAGGAATATTGAGGAAGATTTTTTCCATCAGCTCAGACACGACATGAACATAAATTTCATATCCTTCATCTTCTACTGTCATCAAGGCAGGTCTAGACCAGAAAACAAAAGTCTCTTGAAAGATACCTGCTACGCTTTTAATTTTTTTATTGAAGCAAAATTTCTGAAAGTAAGACAATTTAATATTACTCTGCAACATAATACCAAGAACTAGAAAAATAAGAAAATCTCTGTGCACTCATCTGTCAAATCTGTATCACTGGAATGAATCACTTTGAGGTGTATATACTGAATTTACTACTCAAAGTTAAAATAACTTCTAAACTAACCCTTACTTTCAGACAACTGCTGAAAAAAATGCTTTATGACTTGTCTTCCCTGAAAGACAATGAGAAGTGCACTGTTATGAAATTAGTGTTATTTATGGCTCTGAACTTTAAGTATAAAGGTTAATACCTAAGTTTGTGTACCTACAAATATATAATGGGTACATAACATATTGAAATGCAAAGTAGAGAAATGAGCTTAGGTGGATCACTTGGAATTGTATCATCTGTATCAACATCACCCAATATTATCTGTCTTAATACATCACTTTATAGCCACATCATACCAAGGCACATTTCTTGTACTGTAACAAATACCAAATGCTTTCACAAACCACTGCATTCTTACTAATCTAATCTTTGCTAAGAGCAAAATTTCAGTGTAACAGGCTTTTCTCTGAAAAAGCTGGGCATGTAAGTTCCACAAGACGTGTTCACATGCTGAGAGTACAAACACCAGAAATCTATCATTTTTCTACCACCTTTTGTGAAGAAGCAAATTGAGGTCCTTCAGGACCACTGAGAGATTATAATCTTATGAAAGTCTGGAGGAACCTTTTCAGTTAAGAAAAAAACCCTCTTCACACTTAATCCTCCCTCATAGGAAAACAAGTAGCATATAAACTTAAAGATGCAAGACTATTTTGCTTAGAGGCAAAATACTAATTCCCTTGTTTGATAAAGAGGATATTAGTATTTAAGCCAATAGTTCATTAAACTCACTATGGAAGAGTTTAGAAAGAATTTGAGAAAGAATTTAGACAGAAAATTTACATATTCTACAATTCTAATATATCCATGACTGTCTCAATTACCATTCTCCAGCTACACATCTTTCAAGTCACTATGATACATTCTGAAAGCCCAAGATAAATTTAAAAATTGAACAATTAGTTAATAACAATGTTCCTACATCAACTGGATCCGCTTAGTTTATTTTCTCTAAGTGTGAATATAAGTGTCTCACAGTGCCATCTGGTGATAACTTAGTATTTCTGCTGTCTGAGAATGTTGACTGAAAACATTTATCAATGTTATTTCTGCAAGGCTAAAACTGGTAATTCAGTTTAAAAATATGGTTCTGCATTCACACAATTTCAAACTCAGGCTTGAACAAAACTCTTAAGTTTTCCATTTGATCCTCAAGCTTCTACTCCATCTTAGCTTTATCTGACACAGTACTGTGTAAACATCTTTTCTGTATGACATGGTATTCAAAGAAATTAAAAGGTTACAACTTAAACTAAGAATATCACATACAAATAATGGGAATATAATACAGCAATTCAGTAAAAACTCCTTGAACATTCACTTTCACTTAGAAATACAAGGATTGCTTACCATACCTTAAATAAAGAATTTTACATATAGGGGAACTTTAAATGGAGAAAGTTGCAGTTTACTTCCCTAATAGTAAATAGTATTTTAGCTTTATTTGGCTTACCTGTAGAATGTTTTTACTTTGTTGTATGGCAAACATCTAATACATTGCTTGTAGATCATGTTCTCATCTGCCTGCAGTTCCAAACCACATTTGGCACAACCTGAATATGTAATCATAGGCAGAGAAGCCAAAACACACTCCAGTGAAGTGTCAGCAGAGAAGATGAGTTGCTTGTACCGACCAGTTGAAATGGTAAACTTCAGTTCTAAGATATGGGCTTTCACTTGAATCACTCCTGCAAAAACAAGTTCAATCAAATATGAATTCAGTTTTATTTATAACTGAAAGCAAAAACAAGGGCTGCAGCTGATTCAAAACCAACATCACTATCAATAAAACTTTATTCCTTTTTTTCCCTTTAGTAACACCTGCTCATATTTTTAGATATATTTTATGCAGGGAAAAATCAACGTGGTTAAATATTATTTTAAAATGTATAAATCTACTACATTTTCAGATAGTATTGAAGTAGATGCCTCTACAGAAGTGCCTGAATAAGACAACAAAATTGTGCAGGTAATTTCCAAGTGATTTTCTTTCCACTAATTCAGAGACACTGAAAAGCACAGCTTTAACAACTTAGCTTTCCATTATTTTAACATAAACCAGAGTTAAATGCTGCAACACCAACTTTAGTTACTTCCCAGAATTTAACACCAACCTAGCAATCTTTCAGGTTTATCTGGGAGGCAGTGACTGCGTAAAATGTTTTCTTTGTTCTTTTGTAAGAACTTTTCAATAGCAGCAACTATTTTATTCTTGATTTAGAGATTTCCAGTTTTGGAGATATACTATTTGACAAACTTTCAGCAATTAATCACATCATTACAAGGCTGGTTGGTGTGCATAACTGAAGTCAGCATTTCTCCCTATGTTCCAAAGCTGTCTTTGCATGGTACCACACACCCCACCTCTCTCACCCCTGGGCTCATGAGAGGCTGCATCAGTTTGTTTGAGTGGCGAGCAGCAGCCTCCAGAATAAATTCAGACTCCCAAACCTCTGCTACCTTAAAACATAAGCATTTTACTTCACCAGCAGAGCATCTATTTTGCTTAGTTATGCATTGCACAACAGACATTACAGAACTACAGATAACACTTACCTGAGCATTTTTCCTCCAAGTGCGCAGAGAGCTTTGTCAACTGCATGAGGGATGTCTGGCTTTTCTGAAACTTCTCTTTAAATTCAATTGCCCTTTTGTCATCATCAAACAAGCACTCACAGGATGACCATGGAGTTGTGTGCAGTTCCAAGTCACCTGAGACAGAACTACGTTGGACCAGAAGGTATTTGAAGTCCCATAGGTGATCTATTGAACAAAAAAGGCAAACAGAAGAGTTTATTTTCTTATACTGTGGGTAATTTAAAGCAGGTCAAGGTCAAGTTTTAGCATTTTGCTATTCTGGATTAGAGTCTGATTTTTGGTGGTAATGTGCTAAAACTGCAAGCTCACGAAAAATGTGCTGTCAGATGCACTGTTTCACACTCAAAAAAAACCCTGTCTAAGCATCCATCTAGTTTCATGCACCTCATCTCTGACTAGAGATCCTGCAGCCCCCCCCAGAACTGAGAATGCTCCAGCCAAAAGGATGGTTCAGGTAGTAACGTTACAGCAACACCAAGGGAAAATCTAAACAGGAGGAAACAAACAGACACTTGGCAAGAGGGGATATATGGAAATAGGGGACAGAGTCTAAGTAGGGAACAAGATTTGGCTGATACCCTAATCAAACTATTACTGAGATCTTCAACATCACCCTGCTGATTAAAAATTTATCAGAAATGTAAGCTAAAATTCATTAAGTTTACAGAAATGCATTTAATGAAATACATCTTTATTTTTCAGCAATCTAAACCAGGTGAGTGTAAATCATGAACTGAATGTCTGATGACCGTGCACTGGAAGTCCAAACCAATTTTTAGCAAGAGATGAAAAATAAATGATATTCAGATGCTCTAGAACTATATAGTCTTACACACTTTAACCCTGGAGACAACAGAAAAATTACAAGTCTCCATACTTTCCTCTCTAAGACTAAGCAGTTTCTAATCTGCTCATACAACCAGTAAACACACAGCAGAGCTCTGGTACAATTCCTACCAAGGACTTTGTGGACATTGAGATTTTCCTGTAGCCCACTCACACTGTTTAGCTGCTGTATTGTGTATGCTTTAGTATCCTGTGAATTTATCTTTTTGGCTATCTTACTGGAATTGAATGTTCATGGCTTGTACACAATTAAGTATTTGAACAATTGAGAAATCACCCTTATCTTGAATTTCAGATAATCATTTAATCATAAAAATGCCAGCTGACAGATGCACAGAGCTGGAGAAGAAGACACAAGGTTTAGAAACACAATACTACAGAGATCTACGTGTTATACTTTTCCATTTTAAGCATCAGAGAATGATATATTGTTGTGTCTAATAAATTACCTTTGGTATCCTCTTTTTGCAGCTAAAAAAAACCCATTAAATTCTATATTTTTAAAAGTAATATTCTGGATGACTAAATTCTGTAAAATTTCTAAGCACCTAACAAACAGTATACACCTGCTAACACTCAAGCATGCACAAAAATAAGAGCCATGTAGGCATTACACAGAAAAGTTACTGCTTGAATTGCACCATTTTCTTCAAGTAGTTTAAAAGGTTAGGTCTTGCAGTTAAAACGATTTCCAGGAATGGAGATTACTTATAAATTGAAGTGGAACTGGTAGAATTCAGTGTCAGAATTTAACAGGTAAAGATTCACTATGAAGTTGTTTAACCTTCACGGATTTTATCTTGTACTGTACAAAAACTGGCTTTTTAGGCAGACATATTCAGCATTTCAAGTAATACACCATTTACTTCCTAAGTGTATTCATTGATCAGAAGTATAAACTGAAGTTATCCATTTAACAAAAACCTACTTTCACTTATTTTTAAAGAACAAAGCCAGGAAAAAGTCTAAATTTGATAATAGTCAGTCACTGCTGAAACACAAGCTACATAATTATTGCAAGAGATGGTTTCAGTCAGTCACAGCATTTCATGCTAAACTTGACAATGATAAGGAAGACCCAGCAAAACTGGTAATAAATAGTTAACACTAATGGGTTTTAATAGTTAGATACAAGATGCACTAGTGCCTAGTTATCTAGGTTCAAGTTTTTAAATATTTATGTCTTCTCAGTCTTCTAAGGTAAGTAGTGCATTCAAATTCTGCTGCTGATGGCACTGCTTCTAAACAGGAAACATGCTAGAATTGCTATCAAATATGTTACCCTTGCAAGGGAAGTATTTAAAGGTTAAATAGTAAATGTTACCAGCTGAACATTTTAAAGATATTAACAGCATCACAAAAATCCTTCTACAGCAACCAACAGGTACAAGGACTTTACCTTTTTTCCTTTGAAGCTGAGGGCACCAGGCAGCCCCAGCTCCCCACAGAACCATCCTGTAATGTTGATCTCTGTTCTGCTCTACTGTTAGAATAATTTTTCTTTGGCTGCCACCTTTGTAGCTATACACAGATTCTGAAAAAAAATGAAATTACATTACTTCTACAGTAAAAAGCATGAAGTACATAAACCCCAGTATTAAGGTGAAATCACGTTGCTATCCTATTTTACAGTTTTAAGGAAAGAAGAATACACCTACAATTTCTTCAGGACAGAAAACAGTCTGATTTCTTCAGCAACATGAATCTAGTCTGAAGGAGTGCATAAAGTAGATGATTTTACTTTTATCCACCTAAATATTCAGCAACTGGACACCTCCCTTTGAAACAGCAGACATCTGAGCATCTTTCAGCTCCCACCTGAGTAGAAGCAAATTTTGCTCAATCTCTCAGTAACTGACTGTCATAATCGCAAGTTAAGGTTCCTGTAACTTCTGTGGAATACACTGAAAGAAACACTTCTCTAGAAGTTTTCACATAAAAGAAAACCATAGTCATGTACAAGGCACATTACAAGTATTACTAACAGAACATATAAATTGAAACAATTAAGATCTCTACGTGACTCTTACCCAGGATACTGCCTGTCTTAGTTCCACACGAAAACTACAGTATTTTTAATTAAAAAACAATTTTTCAACAAGACCTCTTGCATTAAATATCCAACAGTTCTGAGATTTACATACTACAGCAAATTATGAAGATTTCTATCTTCAAAATTCTCCATTTATAATGAATAAATATGATATTGACAGTGTGGGTAAAAGTTTGAATCTTACTAATACAAGCTGATAGAGCAACGTGATCAAATTTACGTGCAAAGCTTGAAGTCAAGCACTGAGAACATTCTGCCTTGCAAAATTACTATTTAAGTTTAACCTAATGCAGAAGTTGAAGTCCAGTGCATGAACTTACCTGTTAATATAGCAATGTCGATAATTTTCAGGACTGAGTGCACCAATGTATTTGGCTGGAGCTGATCTAGCTGCATATACTGAACACTGTCCAGTCTCTGGACTTGTCTCTGTGGAATGTCTCTGAAGTGAGGAAATTCTGATGATATGTATGCCAATAAGCCACAGAGAACACCACAATCCACTACAGGATAAACTTATATGGAAAAAAAAAAAAAGGCAAAATTATATACTATTCTTTATGTTTAGAAGTATAAAACCTACTGCTTGGAACATATTTACACTCACAAAGTCAAAACTGTTTCAGAACAATGTTAGGGCAAGAAATCCTTGAGATGTGTAACACAATCTGAAATTAAGCTGTACTTCTTCTGCCTCCCCTTGATAACATCCCAAAGTTAAGATAAGTACAATACTTTAAATCACACTAAACATAGCAAAGAAATCTGTCTCATAGCTTGGTAAGAAGAACAGCTGTTCTTGACCATTTACCTCAGACTCTGCCTTAAACAGCTGGTAACAATGGACATCACAAAGACAGTAAGAACAATGCAATCATGGTGGTACTTCCACTGTATTTTCTCCTTAGTCTCCTACAATGAATTACTTTCCCTGGATGGATCTACTTACTCTTTAAACCTCTGATGTTTCTGCAAAAATTTTAATCCTTGTGTAATTTCAGACATTAAATGGTCGAGTCCTGGGATAACTGCTCTTTCTTAAACTAAACTCTCGGAACTCAATTTTTCAGAGTTTTGAGTGGTAACTATCAAACTTTACCATAAACTCCACATGCCTGTCTGCTGTCATTATGTCCACATCTTGTCCACAAGTGTCCCTGTCATACTTTTCTATAGTGTTTTGTACCTCTAAGTTGCACATTATTTCCATTCTATCCCATGTGTGAGGCATTGCCAACAAAATGGAATACTTTAAATAGCTATTTTACTGCAATTTTGAACTTATGCACTATCATCTTACATTCTTCTGGATTGAGAGCTGAGCAGTTCCCCAGATTCAGTAACCGACTGGTAAATGTAGACTGAAGCATGATTTCTCCACACCAAAGGTTCTCATACATTGTTATATCTGCAATAAAAAAAACAATCTTATCAGCTCATCATTCAACAATATTGAAGTAGATAGTATTTTTCTTGATCACAGAACCGTCATACATACAGCTGTGAAAGACAGTTTGAAAGAGATCACTTGGAAACACAGGGATTTTTTTTTATAATCTATCAACATCATTTACAATGAACGAATAAAATTTTCTCATTAGTTTGATGTAATTCTTAAATTCATTAGCCTCCTAGCAGGCACTGTTTAAGTGAAGCGGGTGGACATATTGGACAAATTATTATTGTACAACATTTCAGAATGAGTAGTAAAGTACTAGGCTTACCCAGAAACACTTTTGATATATTTTGCAATAGGAATGTCTAAGCAGAATGTCTTCAGTTTCTTTAAAATATCTACCTTTGCACCTACCTTTGAGCACTTAAAGAGCTCTTAACAATGAGAAATAGGCATCTTAAACTGTAGAAGTATTCAAACAATTTTATATTGTGTAACATTTTTGCATATAGCCAAACCTAAATGGCCAGATCACTAACAAGTTCTGGGCCACTCCAGCCCCAAATTAGGTGCAATATTGTTTCTGCAGTACTGCATTTGCTCAAGAGATGTGTTCTCTTGCAGAGAGGGTTTTGCTCCTGTTAGGTATTAAGGAGCACAAAGGATTTATCAAGAGGAATCTTCATTATGAATTTCATGTTATGAAAGAGGTAAACTACGAACAGCATTTTGTATTTCTGCAGTCTATGCTGGCTACCAATTCACAACATGATCCACGTCAAGATGCTAGTGCTATGTTACAAAGTCCTTGACAGGAGGAAGAATAGTTCTCATCCTGAGACTGAACTCCACATCACAGTTTTTTTGTTTTACCTGCTGGTCCAACAGCAGAGAATTACAAAGAAGTCCCTCTATGGGACAGTCAGTGTTCCACTGGTAGGATGACTGAGAACTCAAAGTGATGTTGAACAATGCAAGTGATGTAAGACAGATATTCACAAATCCTCAGCCATAGTTCCAAATTACTTGTTTCATATTCTTGTGCTTTAAACAGGCCTTTTGAAAGACCCACATTTTAAAAAGGCAAGTAAAGGAATTCTCACCTGTAAGCAGTACAACATCTCCAGGAAACACAGTGAGGGACCAAAATGCAGCACCACGCCACAGCACCACCTTTCTCTCAGTTTCTGACTGGTCAATAACAACAATTGTTGCTACAGGAACTTTACATGAAGATTTTGGTCTAGTCTTTACTTGTATTTCTTTGATATGACAAGGATGTACTACTGTGACCAAAACATTGTACTTTTGATTTTTGCAGCAGCAATTCTTAAGTAGTGATAGTTTCTTCTGAAGTTTCTTGAAGTCTGTCATCCTCTCTTGATCCACTCTAGTCCCAGGACCAGGTGGAGAAGAATTCAGTTTAGCTCTCTTGGATACCAGCTGCCTTTTAAATGCTGAGTGAAAAAGAGGAAAGGAATCTTCACACTTGCGGGGTCTTTTAGAAGAGTTCTTGTGAGAAGAACTTTCTACTTGAGAGCACAATATTCCAGAGCTCAGTGGTTCAATATGGATTTCATTTACCAAGCGCTCAGAAGGAGCTTCAATTTCTTGTAACTTCCCTGTGTTTTCCTGAGCACTTCCTTCTTGTTTTGTAGCTTCAAAACAAATGTTTTCCCCATCATCCTCAGAACTGAAAAGATCAAGAGAACTTGCATACTCTTCCTTACATTCATTTTCAGCCACGTTAGTACACGTTCCAACACCAGAATCAAACTGGAAGTGATCATACTGCCTTTCTTCAGCTTTTTTGCCTGCTTCTGTTTCTGACAGATTTATGATTCTTCCCAGCATCTCATTCCGCTCCTGTGCAAGAACAACCATCTGACTTGATGTCACTACACTGCGAAATTCAGTATCTGTTGACACTGCCAAGTCTGAACAATCCTTTGGTTCTTTTGGTTTTGACTCTTGACGTTTTTGGAAAACCGTATCCAGATACTGATCTAGATGCTGCTGATGATCACTTCTGTGACCTGACTGCTGTCCCACAGACAGATTTATGCTGATCTGCTTCGTACTGGCAACCAACTCGGAAATGTCAGCGCCGTTCACTTCCGAATGACCAGCTTTTCTCTTGGTGAGGTCTGAACAGCAGCCATGGGATGATTTGTCTTGCCCAGCTGATCCTGGACACTTCTGTGGAAGGTGTTGATCTGCAGCCTGAGTTACATCTGCAGGTGTGTATCTATCTTTAGATATCTGGCAATCAGAATAAGTTAAACTTTTGGTCTCTTTAGGTGTGCTGGTACAACTTACTGTCACAGGTACAAGAGGTGTCAAACCTTCTGCTGCTGCCACTGCCCTGCCCTGTTGAGGCTGCAGAGAGCTGCCATCCCCTGTAGGAACTGCTGTGACTGCGGAGTTTCCTGCCTGGAACACTGAGGGGTCAGCAGCACCCTGGACTTTTTCAGAAAAAAGACCACGTGCGTCACACAAATAGTGCAGCTCTCTCCATTTCTCAGCAGTAGGTGCTGAACTACTGCGCTCTAACACCTCCAGGGGGCCTGGAATGCTGGGTGCTCCCACAAAAACATGGATCTGAGGTCTTTTTGACATTTCTGACTGTTGTGCAAGCCAGACTTTAAATAATGTAGTTTATGCAATGAGCACAATAATAAATATTAGCAAATGCAAAAAAAAAATAATTTTACTTTCTCTTAACAACTTTAAAAATACCTAAAACTCAAAGGAGTATTATTTCATAGTTTACCTGGTAAAAACACTACTTTACTACTTAAAGCCTATAAAAATAAATGTACCAAATCTAAAACAATGGAAGTTATTTTAAAAATATTTAATATTTATTTCTTGTGCCAAACTTGCATAGAAAAATAAATTTACAGTATTCCCTAGTTTCTGATTCTGACACTTGGAAACACATTATTATGGTGAAGTTAAAATTAAGTTTAATTATTGAGCTATTTATCTTCATTAATTATTGCTAATTAAACAGTCATATGTGAATTCATTATTCAGCACTTGATTTTAATTCATGTGAAATAAATGCCTGTAAGAAACTTTTACAGCACAGTTAGGAGATAATTTCATCTCCCAGAAAATTACAGTTTCAACTAAATGATTAAAATCACTAGAGCCATTTAAAGTTTGCTAGAAATGCAATATTTTACAGGCTGTTTTAACATGAAACTACTATATTAAGTGATTGTTTTAAGAAACTGAAGCTTTCAGGCCATTACTAATAAATTATAATTATTTAATGAGCACTAAGAGGTCAGTGAGACTTGAGCAGGTGATTTAGAATTTAATTCATTTAAGTAGTATCACACAACTCAAGAAGTAGCTTTTCTAGCTACTTTAAAATAAGCCCACCTTACATAGCCCAAAATACCTTCTTTTTTTTTTTTTTTTTAATTTCTGCTATAGAATTACAAATATAATTTTAAAATATGCAGCTACAGCTACAAGTTATTATTACAGCTACAAGCTATCATTAAAATGCTGATGTCTAGCTACATGTTTTGGGAGTGTTATTACTAATAGAAGTTGCTGCAATAGGCAATTCTGCAGACGTAGAGAATGCCAGAAAAAATTCGAGAGCTAATCCAGCTGTAAAGAGAAGGAAAAGAGCATTGAAACAAACACAGCATTCAAAAATATGTAAATGTTTCATTTAGCACTTATTAAATTAGCAACCATTTTCCCAACAACCCCACTAGGGGTCGATAAATCTGCACATTCCCAAAGATCACTGTAACATGGAAAAGCTGTAAACATCCTGGAACACTGATCTCTGGTATATTATTGGTGTCACTGGAAAAGCAATATACAACCACTAAAATTAGACACGGCAAAATTCAAAGGAGGTACAAAACACAGTAACTATCTGCACTCAGTTTTATGCTCATTAAAAAAAGAATGCTACTTGGAAAACATCAGAGTATCCAAAGCAAAGTGACAGTGAGGTTGAACCCCCAAATAAGTGTCTCAGTAAGTTCTGCAGATAAGAGGCCACCCAACACATGACATAAAAACAAGTTCAGTAACAAATCTGTGACAAACAGAAAATGTTTTGATTAGTTTAAATGAACTTCAGAAGCGTAACCTAAGTGATGAGATTAAATAATTACTTCCACTTAAAAATATCTAAGTCTACTGGTAACTTTTTCATTTGTGATTACCTTGTGTACTAATTTGTGATAATTAGAACAGTATGTTTAGAGGCCAGCTTACAACCTGGAGTTGCAAGACCCTTCAGAGATTTGTAGTCATAGAAAAGTTAGAGCTGAAGATGCCATAATGTAAAGTACTCAGAATTAAAATTAAAAAAACTGTCAAGTGTCCTAGATTACTTTGTGTATAAAATGCAGTACTTCACATACTACACTGGAGCAAATTTCTGCACTTTATAGCTTAAAGCCAGAAAAGAGTAACAAAGGAAAGCTTTTAGACAATTATATATTTCATGGGCTAAACCTACCGTTTCAGTACTTGTAGTACAGTATAAAGGAAGATCCTAGAAAGGCAGCTGTACTTCACTCTACTTCCAGAGATATCCTGTATCATATTTCAAGAATGTTCTTCCTATAATCAGGGTTGAACCATTAATTAACCAGTTAAGACTTGAAGAATCATTGAAGGATCAAATAATAAGCATTAGGTTTTTTGTTTGTAATTCTGTCTACTCCCCATAATAAGCTCATGGAAAACTAGATTTGTTTTTTCAATTCCTAAGCACTACTATACTATTTTTAACCAAAAACATTACCAAATTATGAAAACAATAAAATGAAAATGTAAACATATCCTAATAGCCCTGGACCTTCTTCTCAGTATATATATAGATACACACAGACATTACACTCAAAGTCTTTATGCAGAGTCTGAAATGAACAAAGCTGTTATTTTGGCATACTTGAAAAAGACAACCACTGTGACCATCACACCTTTTTCCCTCGAGGATTTCATTTTGAGGACCTGGAAGATCTTGGCACAGTCTCACAGTATAATCTAAACCTGCTAATTCCTACTGCAACTGCAGTAATTAGGACTCAAGTTACAGCAGGCATGACACTGCCAAATACAATGGAAAAATTTCTGCTTTTTCATCCAAAAAGCCTCATCTTTTTACATTTACATTTATAAACACACATTACGATCTGCGACTAATATTAAAGGGTACTTTGAAAATACTTTTCTTTTTAGACAAGTATCCAAGTGGTTTTTTTATGAACACACCTTATACCTTGGTAGAACTGACATGAAAAAGATGTATTAATAGCAAGTGGTGACTTGCTACAGTACTAAAACAAAATAAACTGAACACTGCCACAATCTACTACCACAAACATATAGGGACAACTGGTATCATTAGGCAACTGAATTTCCCCGAGATACATTAAACTGAATTTATAACAGAAGGAAGTCTATGCCAGTCTTCTAGTAGACTGATGAATTTAAAGATGTGAGCCTCCGTACAAATGTTCTCAATAAACACCTGGTATATAAGAACACACCTGTAACAGTATTGGATACAAAACATGAAATGTTTGCTAACTGAGAAGTCAACAATACTTTATTAGGAAAACACTTTTTAAAACAAAAACAATTTCTCTATCTTGGCAAAAGTCCAGTTATATAGTAATTTATCAGCCTCTCATTATAAGTATCACTGCTCTCTCGGTTCTTGTCATGTTTAAAGATTAGTAAATTACACAAAGATTCAGAAAGTTTTCCTTAACTTTCCAGTTCTGTAACTTCTCTAAACATAGGATTTGCTTTCTTTATTCATATTTTGCAGTGCCAGTACATTCAAGGCCAGGTTGGATGGGGCCCTGAGTGACCTGACCTAGTGAAAGGTGTCCCTGTCCAAGACAGGGGAGTTGAAAAGGGATGATTTTTAAGATCCCTTCCAACCCAAGCCTTTCTATTACTGCACCAAAGCAATTAAATCTTTATGTTAAATATGAACTTTTTCAACTAAAATATAATTTTTATTTTCAAAAGCTAAATCTTACATTTTTCTCACAATACTTAGAGCTTAGGAATGGTAAGTGACCTCTGCCTATTTTCTGGTTCACATAATAAGTCCACTACCAAATCATCTCCACTGGCAATTTTCAAGTGACTTTTTAGGTCAAAGATACCAAACTCCTTCCCGTAATAGGAAACGTCAGTACCTAAAATCATTTAAGCCTGTAAATCAAAAAGAAAAATAAATTAAAGCTTATCTAAATTCTCTGTTTGAAAAATTGTGCATAGAACCTTTTCTGTGCTGCTTTAGAAGAGAATTATTATTGTTTTAATGAGTTTTGTTAATGAAGTTCTGTGCCTTGTTTTAAATGAAAAGTCTAAAGGAACAATTCATTATAAATCTTGAAAAAATAAGCAAAAAAACCTATCAATCCTATTAGCATTTTATAATGTAGTTACATTATCTGTGGGCAGATAGGGGGTTAACTACACTAAAGATAGCAGGAGCTAAAGCTCATAAAGATACAACTGAAACCTGAATGCACATATCCATTATACCTGTTAATTATTACACCATTTCCTAATTTGTGGAAAGCTGCTCTATTCCTAATAGCCAATGAAAGCCTAGTTTTTTATCTCTGAAATGGTCAGAGTCTGATTGACGGGTCAATGATCTATTAAAAAACAGTAACTACATCAGCAACTTTTACATTTGCAAGACACTGCAACTGAAGTTTAATATACCTATTACAAGAAATACAATATGCTACATAATGTATTTCCTCCAAGCTAAACAATAAGACAGGAATTCTCAATTATAAGTTTTTTTTTAAATGAACCATTATTAACAGATTCTTAATCCCTAGTGATTTGCATGGAAAAAAATTAAAAATAGATTAAAAAACCCTCTTCCAGTGGTTACTCTAGAAATGTTGTGTGATGCTACATACATGACCTTGAAGTACCCCTAAAATACCTCAGAAATATTCATTACTTTTATTCCATATTTCATTATTCATTAATAGTGTTCACTCACCATGATGATCACCAAGCATTAGGCCAAGGTAACTTAAGAGTGTGACACAGCTTCAGCTTCCTATCATTCCTGAATATTAATGGCGGCCAGTTGTCTAAATCCCTGCTTTGAAAAGTTACAACCAAATAGTTCCATCAAGCCCTTTCACTTAAGCCCTATACACCCAAAGTAAACCACAGTAATTCCACCTCCAGTTAACAGTTTCTTTATATCTGTCTACAGATTCAAGCTGCAGATAAAATTACAGAAATAACAGACAGCAATGCATCAGAAGACAAAGGATTATAGCAATATAATGCAAAAGTGTAACTTACTTTACTCTCCAGAATTTTCATTGTCCTTTACCTGCTGAAAAGCTGGCCCAGTAAGAAATACATAAAATAGGATATTCCTTAAATTTGAAATTTTAACTTCTACTGTAAGCTTTCCCCTGCCTTATTCCCATATTCAATTTAACACTCTTCCTACATGTAGTATACAAAATTAAAGAATTGATTCATCAACCTTACAACAGAAGAAACTGAATTATTCATAGCCATCTTCAGGGCAGAAGAACAGCAAGCAGTGTAGTAACAGTTTCATACACTTAGAAACTGAAACAACTCTGGGATGAAGCGATGAGCTCACTCCCTGTTCACTTGCAACTTGTGCAAGGAAAAGAAGGATGATCTTTATGCCAACAACTCTTGCTGGCACTGCAAGTGAATCAATACACCAGCAACAGCACCTATCCACCAAATCAATAGGTAACTTGGTCCAAATGGATATGTATTAAAAGGAACTCAATGGAAAATAAAAACTGACGGAAGAAATCAAGATAAGCAACTTGTAGCCAAAGCAAATTTATATTCTATGTAACAGTGAGAAACATATCATATGGGCTTAAAAGAAAATTATCTGTGTAGGTGAATGGCAGCTCAAGGAGATCGAAGTGGATTGCATGACACCAGGCTAGTGGGACCTAACAAGGAGCCAAGAGAACATGCACATGGGAGAAAGTACACAGGCATGTGGGCAAGTGGGGAAGTGGACAGGATACATAATTAAAAGTCTTATTTGTCATTCTATGTTTGGTGGTTGTAACAATCACCAAAAACCTTTTATCTAAATTGCAATGTAAGGTTTCAGGCAAAGACTGTAGTCCTATCTATAACTGACAGGTTCAACCAAAAGTAATTTTACACCAAGATGGTTATTTGGTTTAATAACATCGTGCAGTAACAACATGTTTCTGGAATGCTGTGCACAGAGACAGCTGTCAACCAGACATGGTGGTAGAGCAAGACTCCTGCTAGTCCATGTCAAAAGTTTTGAAAATCATAAACCTTCATTTGCCTACAGCAGTATCTGTAATTAGTATAAAGTTACTTCTAAATGAGGTACTTTGATTATTATTTGCCATAAAATACTGTCTATTAGTACTTACTATTGACATTGAGTAGCAGCAATATTAATCCATTCAGTATTTAGTTCTTCTCACTGGCTAATACCAGAGGACTGCAATACCATTTGGCCTCAAGACAGGTATGGTTGGTTTATAATACATAAAACCTGTACTCAGCAATATGGAGCCAAAAAACAAGAGGTATCCAAATTTTTT